CAATTGTTTCAATCTTTCCTCTTAGGTCATGTTTTCTAGACCTTTAATGATTTTTGTTGCTCTCATATGGACATTTTCCAATTTGTTTATATCTTTCCCAAAGTGTGGTGCCCAGAACTGGACACAATACTCCAGCTGTGGCCTTATCAGTGCTGAGTAGAGTGGAAGAATTACTTCTCATGTCTTGCTTACAATTTATGCAAGTGAATATTCCTTCTGAAGTGTAGTTCTATGCCTTTGTGCTTATTGAACCATTTCTTCAATTTGTCAAGATCATTTTGAACTTTAATCCTGTCCTCCAAAGTGCTTGCAAACACCCTCCTCCCATCTTGGTATTGTCCACAAACTTTATAAGTGTACTCTCTGTGCCCTTATCCAAATCATTTATGAAGATACTGAATAGAAGCAGACCCAGGACCAATCCCCTGTAGGACCCCACTCAATATGCCCTTCCAGCTTGACTGTGAAACATTGATAACTACTCTCTGAGTATGGTTTTCCAACCAGTTGTGCACCCACCCTAGAATAGGTTCACTTAGGCTATATTTCCCTAATTTGCTTATGAAAAGGTCATACGAGACAGTATCAAAAGCCTTACTAAAGTTGAGATAGATCATATCTACTGCTTCCTCCTTATATACAAGTCAAAAAAGGATCATAGGTTGATTTGAATGACTTGGTCCCACAAATCCATGCTGACTGTTACTTATGATCTAATTAGGAAAAGCTTTCTAACTGTAAGGGTCTGAGAGAAACCAGGTGGGTGAGGTACTATCTTTTATTGGCCCAAACTATGTTGGGGAAAGAAAGAATCTTTTGAGCTCCAGAGAGCTCTTCTTCAGGTCTTCAGCTTACAGGCAGAGAGAAGATTTCATCTATGCATTTGTATGTTCCTGTTCAAGTCACAAACCTCTAGCCAGTGACAGTTCTCGAACAGATCCTTATTTTTTGCGTGGAAAAAGGCCAACAATGTATATTGGCAGCTTAGAAGAAGAGCTTGTTCAGGGGTTGAGGTCAGGTTGGCTGCCTTAACTCTTTGGGAGACCTAGCACAAATGGGGGTTGAACAGACATTGTCAAAGCAAGTGTTGGGCATGGGCAGCTGTATTGAAGGAGAGCTCTGTGGCGCTCGATAGCTTGTCTCTTCCAACAGCAGATGTTGGTCCAATAAAAGAAAGTACTCACTTTGTGTCTTTCATATCCTGGGACCAACACAGCTACCACAACACTGCAAATAACTTTAAGGGGAGTTAAGGCCTGGAATAGGCTTTTAAGGAAGGTTAGGGAATCCCCATCATCTCAGGTTTTAAAGAACAGGTTGGATGAACACCTGTTGGGGATTTCCTTAAGTTTCCTTTGTCCTGCCTCAGGACTGGGCTAGATTTCCTCTCAATTAACCTTCCAGCCCTATATTTCTATGATTCTACTACATATTTCATTCTGCCAAATTGACATTTTCCAATTAAACTGAGTGTCACTGGAAACTTTCCCACTAACTCTTGTCCTTCTCTTTATTCCCTGATGGTTCAGTGGATCCACAGAGCCTCTTCCAGTTCCCTGACTCAGACATACTGAATTGGTTTGTTGCTTGCATTTTACCTAGAGCACTTATACTTCAAGTTCCCTCTGGCCCTCTCTGAGAGTCTGATCTCATCTTGTATCAGACACTGCCTTAATTTCTCCTCAAACAATCTGCCACAGCTGGTGCATTTGAATTACTCTCCCTTCTGAGATCTTGTCTGTGACATGAAATAACAGTTTAACTCAGAGACAGAATCTCCCAGCAAGCCCCTCCTGATTCCATCTAGGGTTTGCTCCTGTCCCTTACCGCTGCTATGGAGAGTTTCTTTCCCACTCCTTTCTGACACTGGGTCCCCTCTGCATGCCCTACAGAAGTCTCCTTTCAGGTCTCTGCTCTTTGCCGGGCTATCAGTCCCAGCTCTTTGACAGCTCCCCAGACCTCTCTGAGCAGGGGAGCTCAGCTGGTCTCTTCTTTTAGGAAGCCCCAGCCATGAGCTGCCATCATGTCACCCAAACCCAAATTCATCATCTCTGTTCAGATGAGAAGGCACAGGTTGTGCTGAGCCCATCTTCCCTTAAACGGCCAGCACACCTTGTGCTACCCTGCTAATTTCCTCCTTATATTTTACATGCCCTTGTTTTGTTCTTTTCTATCACTTTGCTTAATTTGGATTCCCATTCTCCTGTTCCAGGCTTCATCCTAGTCACACTGACCCAGATCGCCCGCTGGTGTAAATAATCAATGGGGCCAGGCCAGCTCTCCCACCAGTGGAAATCATCCATCACTCCATTGGAGTCAATGGGCCAGATCCCTAGCTGAGGACCTCGCACCAGGCATGCATCTCAATTTCCCTGTTCTGAAATGGTGCTATTAATTCCGACAGGCACTGCTGTGGGGAGGTGAGGCTAAAACTGTGAATATTCACAAAGCACATTCATGCCCCTGCTTGGAAGGTGGGATAGAAATGCCTTCTGGCAGATGGAGCTCACCTGCAACCACAGGACACCCCAAGCTTGAAGCGATGAGCTCGTATTTCTCAAGGGTTTGGCAGCCAGGACTCAGGTTCCTCCGCTGAGGTTCTCGTCTCCTATCCTTCTGAAGAATCTGGATCGTCTCAGAGGAGAGACCTACATCCACCTGAATGGACGAGCAGCTGCTTCAATGTGTGTTAGAACATGCTGTGCCTCCCATGTACAAAGTGCAGAGGTCTCCTTGTATTTCTGTCTTCCTCCATGGCAGGCTGCGTTTCCCTTGAGTCAATCTCCGAAGGGGCTGAGCTGGGGGAATTAACGCTGTGTTTTCTGTGCAGACAGTGCAAACAACTGTCCTGATGCAATCAACCTCCCACACCTCCTTCTCCCTGCTGTATGAGATCACTGCTCTGCATGGCTGAAATGTAACACAGAGCCCATAGAGTGCATGACCATACAGAGTGACTCTGCTGAGTAATCTTTGCTCATGTCAGTTGTCCCATTGCCTTCAGTGGAACAACTCCACGAGTAACAATGGCTAAGATGAGTCAGGCACGCTGTATTGGGTGGTCAAGCCATGCAGTTTACCAAAATGAATGAGAAAGAATGTAAATTTAATCCATAGTTTGCAAATGGAAGCTTTGAATGAAAGGAAATCTCTCTCTCACACTGACACACAAACCCAATGGAAATATTTATCCAAGGAACTTTGATGTGATTTTTAATCTTTATTCATTTATTTAACAATAGTCACTCGCTTCTGGTGAACAGTAGCAGAATTTAGGGCCTTGAAGATTGGTTCCCATTGGAGAAGGCTGACAGGGTGTTGTTAGGAGCTAAAAGGCTGAGGCGGGGAGTAGGAAGGGGGAGGCTCCACATAAATGCTGCTATGTTGTGATGCACCTGGAGCATAAATAACAAGAAAGACACTCAGGGCAGATACCCTGCTGGACAGTGTGTGCTGCTTCATTTACAAAGTGGGCCGACCAGCCTGGGTTTCTGGGAGTGGAAGGAGGAGCTCATTCACAAGGAGAAAATAGCAAGGTGCTGTGTGAGCAATGCAGCTTTCTTTAAAGGATGCGTATTGCTCACATGCCAACAAAATCACAAACTTTTAAGACAATATGTAACTGCGCCACCTGGTGACTCCCACCATAGCCATATATTTGTAAATAATTCCTTGTCATGTCCCAAAGCTTCTAAGGGGTCTCAGTATGTTGCCAGGCGACCTGCATGGAGCAGTAGAGCTGACTATAGCATCTGGGATGGTAGCACCATGCCCTGAGAACTAGCCCTCTCGGGTCTTATGCTTGTTACAGTCAGTTTTGGGGACACTCATTGTAGCAGCTCCCAACCTTGGAACTGCTTCATGTACTTGGCAGCAGCTGAGTGTCCACTGCTTTGCAGTGCCACATGCTGAGTCCCTGCTTAGGGACTGTTGGAAAGGCCCGGATCACAGGAACAGACTCGGCTCTACGTGTGTGCATCCCCTAGTGCCCTGGCAAACGCCCAGTTGGGTCAGGACTGTCCTCATTGACTTAGGCTTTGACTCTGCTTCTTTGGCTTTGCCCAATCTCCCTGCCTCCAAGGCCCCTATGAGCTATCTGCGGTTTCCTTTTTCCAGCTCCGCCCAGCAGGGACTGAGCTCAGATGAGAGTGATAAATATTTTCCTGGTGCTGTGTCCGTAGGTTGCTGCTAATGCCAAGCTCTTTGCATCTGGCTTATGTGAGCGTAATGAAGAGTAGTTAGTTTGCCAGGCCCATGTGACAGGGAAGACAATAGCATAACTTCAGAGGTAGCAGGTTTCCTGTAGTTATGTCCCCACATATTTTGCACCAAAAGATAATTGGTTGTTTTTTTGTTTTTTTCCCCCCAAATATTTGTTTTCACATGAAATGGCTTTTCTCATGGAACCACAGACCTGATTACAAGATTTTATGATCTAACACAGAGAAAGAATATCCTGGACCAATACAGCTACAACAACACTGCAAACTATAGAGAAACAATCCACAACAGGGAATATACATAGGTATTGGCTTCCATATTTAGTGGAGATTGTGCCTTAAACAAAATATACGCAAAAAGGCACTGTACACCCTTCTGATGCAAAGTGAATGTTTAGCCAGGCCCAAAGAGAAAATACACTATCCCAATGCCTGTATCAATGCTGAACATGAGAGGTTAATGGACCGGTTCACAGTCTCACTTATCTATTTTTTGTGGACACAGTGAGCAACCATAATGACTCCATCTCAGTAAATCCATGCAGATTATCTCTATTTTTTAACATGAGCAATGAGATTTTCAATAGGAGTTTTCAAGTTAATTTCAATTGGGACTTTTTGCCCAAATCACCCCAGTAGCTTTGAAAACCTCAGTGTAAGGGCCAGATTTACAAAGGTATTTTGGTGCCTTGTGGGAGTTTCAAAAGTGTCTTGAGGCCTTCACTGATTTCAAGATCCCACTTGGGGCATAAACACCTTTAAAAATCTGGAGCTTAGTCATTATATAGGGTTCTCTATGTTCCTTGTAAATGTCACATATTTACTGACTGCTTTGTGCAAGGCTTCTTTGACTTCTCTGTTTCTCAGGCTATAGATGAGGTGGTTTACCAGGGGAGTCAGGACTGTGTAACAAAGAGAGAGAACTTTCTTTAGGAATCTCAGTGTATCAAGTTTCGGAAGCAGATAGACAATCATTAGTGTCCCATAGAAAATTGTCACCACAATGAGGTGGGAGGAGCAGGTGGAAAAGGCCTTTTGCCTCCTGGTAGTGGAAGGGATTTGCAGGATTGTGGTGATGATATAAACGTAGGATGTCAAGGTTAGTAGAAATGGAGGCAGGGTGAATATACAGGCTAGGATGAAATCCAGCAATATGATAACTCGTGTGTCCCCACAGGAGAGTTTTATCAATGGGATGGAATCACAATAGAAATGGTCAATTTTGTTAGGGCCACAGAATATCAACTGCAACATGAATAATGTGAAGATGGTAATAGCCAAACAACCATTTACCCATGACCCAGCAGCCAACTGAAGGCAAACTCTGGTATTCATAAGAGATGAATAGTGAAGGGGTTTACATATCGCTAAATACAGATCAGAAGACATCACAGCTAGCAGATAGCACTCTGTAGATGCCAGAGCACAAAAGAAATATAGTTGTGTGATGCAGCCACTGACAGAAATGGTTCTGTCCCCAGTCAGGAGACTCGCCAGCATCCTGGGCAGAATGGTGGAGCTGTAGCAGGTCTCCAAGAAGGACAAGTTCCCCAGGAAGAAGTACATGGGGGTGTGCAGATGCTGATCAGTCACAACGAGCACTATGATGAGGATGTTCCCAGCCAGAGTGGTGATGTAGATCACTAGGAACAGCAGGAAGAGAAGAATTTGCAGGTCAGGGAGATCCCCAAATCCCAGGAGGAGGAATTTCGTGATGGTCGTTTGGTTTCCCCAGTCCATGTCTGCCATGGTTTGAGACTAGGAACAATGAAACAAACTATGCATTTGAATCAGAAGAGCATAGAGTTAAAAGTTAATGAAATGTCACCATTTAATTCTATAAAAGTATAAAAACTCCTCACCTGGTTACCAGCCCTAGTTTTATGACTAAAGTTAGACCTTGGGCAAGTGTCTTAGTCCTAGAATTGAACCCTAATATCTCTTCAGACTTCCCCATGCCATCTCAGATCAATAACAATGATAACAACTGCACACTTCTCTGGTAACCCAATTTTGACATGACAGATCAGACAACTTGTTCCTCTACTCTCATATCCCATCTAGTGCCTAATTGGAGCAGAACAATGATGTTGAATTGAAACATTGCACATCTGGCAATGGCCAGAATGTCAAGTCTTGGAGGAATAAATATCAATAAATACATCAACTAAACTTTTGAATTAAGCATTTCAATCCAAAGTAATGTGTTTTGGGACATATCATCTATTAAAATTAATGGTAATTATTCTCACTATTTTTCTACTTATTGAATATTTATTTTCACCGTCACACAAGACAGCAGTTTATGAATTATGAAGTGGAGTAAAGGGTTCCTAGATCATGTCACACAACAACCTAATGATGATGATGATGACTGATGATTGCAGATATCTGGCTGGAGGAGTTGAAAAGCCCTTTTCTGTTTCAGATGGTACTTGTTAATATTAACTATGTAGCAGTATTCAAATACATCTTATTTGGGGGTAGATTTTGGAAGGGACAAACCCAGGATGATTTGCAATCCTCACTGTAGAGTTACTTTCCTCAGACCTGTTGCATCGGAATAAATGGGCCAAAGGCATTAACATAACCCACTCCTGTCCAACACTAAAGAGTGTTAAACAAGTTTCACAGTTGGGTACACAAAGACCTGATCCTGTTCAGTACCATGACAAACACATAAAATTCAAGTACTTTTTTTCATTTAGTTTGGCTAAATTTTAGTCTATTTCATAATCTGCTCATAAATACATAAGAAGGCTATATTGAGTTAGACTTGGGGTCAAGCTAGTCCAGTACCTGGTCTTCCAACAGTATCCAGTGCTGGATGCTCCAGAGGGAATAAACAGAACAGGGCTATTTTGAGTGATGCATTCTCTGTCATCCAGGCCCAGATTCTGGCAATTGGAGATTTAGGAACACCTGAAGCATGAGGTTGCATCTCTGACCATCTTGGCTAATAGCCATTGATGGACATATCGTTCATGAGCTTATCTAATTCTTCTTTTAAACAAGTTGTATTTTGGCCTTCACAAAATCCCCTGGCAACAAAACCCTCAGGTTGTCTGTGTGTTGTGTGAAGAAGTACTTCCTTATGTTTGTTTTAAACCTGCTGCCTATTAATTTCATTGGGTCACCTCTAGTTTGTGTATTATGTGAAGGAGCAAATAACACTTCCCTATTCACTTTCTCTGCACCATACATGTTTTTATAGATCTCTATCTTATCCCCCCCCATCATCTTTTTTCTAACCTGAACAGTCCCAAACTTTTTAAATTTCTTCTCATACACAAGTTGTTTCATACCCTTAATAATGTTTGTTGCCCTTCTCTGTACTTTTTCCAATTCTAATATATCTTTTTGAGATGGGATGACCAGAACTGCATGAAGTATTCAACTGCACATGTTCGACAGATTTATATAGTGGTATTATGATATTTTCTGTCTTTAATCTTCCCTTTCCTTATGGTTTTTTGCATTCTGTTAAAGTTTTGATTGCCACTGCACATTGAGTCGATATTATCAGAGAACTATCCACGATGACTCCAAGATCTTTCTCGAGTGGTAACAGCTAATTTACCTCTCTCCACTGTGAAAACAGTCCATTTATTTCTCTCTTTTCTTGCCTACCTTTTAACTAGTTACCGATCCATAAGAGGATCTTCCCTCATACCATGAATTCTTACTTTGTTTAAGAGCCTTTGCTGAGGGACCTTGTAAAAGGCTTTCTGAGAGTCCAGGTACACCATATCCACTGGCCTATTGACACACTCAAAGAATTTGATAGATTGGTGAGGCATGATTTCCCTTTACAAAAGTCATATTGACTCTTACCCAATATATCGTGTTCACCAATGTGTCTGATAATTCCCTTTACTATAGTTTCAAGCAATTTGCCTGGTACTAAGCCTATTAATTGCTAGGATCACCCCAAAATATTTTTTTTAAATAGGCATTAAATTATCAATTCACCAGTCATCTAATACAGAGTCTGGTTTAAATTATAAGAACATAAGAACGGACATACTGGGTCAGAGCAAAGGTCCATCTATCCCAGTATCCTGTCTTACGACAATGGCCAATGCCAGGTGCCCCAGAGGGACTGAACAGAAGAGGGTGGGAGGGAT